ATATTTGTTTTAAAAGTGTGTTTGTAGCATATAATGTGTCTACATATTTCTGAAGGCACAGACTTGTAATGAAAGCCAGTAGTCTCTGGTCCTGTTGAAACTCCACATCCCAAACTCTTAGACGACCTCCTATAGCTGCTGCTTCTGGAATTGATCCTCATGTTTCTAAATAATAGCACTTTAGACATTACCCATGGTTTCCTATTATAGAAGCTGAGAATTTCATGAGTCCTAATATTGTTGTATTACAGATTTTGTTTTTGCCTTGACTGTATTACTCACAGAACTATATTATGCTTAAATATTCTTTCTTGCACTTTTTTTTTTTTTTTTTTTTTTTTTTGGTACTGGGGATTGAACTCAGGACTTAGTGCTTGCCAGTCAGGCACCTATGCCACTGAGCTATCTCCCTATCCCTCTTGCACATTTTTTAAAGCCATGGAATTAATAACTTTCATGTACTGATTTTTTTCTTCTATTTTATGTATTCTCAAAGACTCTGGCAGACCTATGAATGCTGCCAAAGGCTGTGTTCTTTTTTTTAAATTTTTTTTTTATTAAGCCCAATATATATGGCTTTAATGGTTTTTCACAAAGCCTGAGTATTTGGCAAAGTAAAAATCACATCACTAACGAAGTTAAGAAAGTATGGAACTTGTGATACATTTCTTTTTTTAAAGTGTTTTTATTTTATTTGTGTGTGTGTGTGTGTGTGTGTGTGTGTGTGTGTGGCCAGCTCAGCCCACCAGGGGGTGGGGCTGGCTGGCATGTGGTGCTGGGGGATTGAACCGCGGTCCCTGTGCTTTGCTAAGCTTGTTCTAAGTAGGTGCTTTAGACCACTGAGCCATCTCACCAGCCCCATGTGATACATTTTTAAATATGTGAGGATTTAAACTATCCTCATGTCCTGTAAAGGCCAAAAGTACTTATTTTAATGTTCGTTGTAAACAGGATCCTCTGGTGATTCATAGAATGATGTAACAGTGGCCTTTATGCTTGCTTCTGTTAGAGTCCTACTGTGTTTTCTGTGTGACCGAGTGCATTAGATCACACGTCAGTCCTACTTTTCCTGCAGTGTTTCCTCTTGGGAGGTCCCCCCCCCCCCCGGCCACCCTCTTGCTCTACCGTCTCCATCCTTCAGGTCCTTTCCAGGCCCGCTGCCTCTGTCTCCCTGGGAGATCGCTTCACCATCGACCTGGACATTCCTCTCCCCTCTCTTCAGCGACGTGCCATTTTCTCTTACTTGGTACGGCATATATTTCAGTCCCATCTTGAGGAATGATGCTTGAGGAATGATGTGCAGTATACAAGTCTGTTTGTTGAGATTTCTTGTACTACTTATTTATAGTTTTTTTAAAAAAAATTTTATTTATTTTTTTTATTTATAGTTTTATAATAGCTGAATCACTCCAAACTAAGTGACTTAAAACAAAAATAAGCATTTATTATTTTGCAGCCTCGGTGTTCAGGAATTGGAGAGCAGTTCAGCTAGGTAGGTCTGACTCTGGGAATCATAAGAAGCTGCAGCGAAGATAACCTGTTGGTCAGGGAGGCAGAGATCCGAAGGCCAGAATCTCACTAAACAAAATAATATAAATTTCACAGTATTTCATGTATTGCATAGTGTTGTCTTCAAATTAGTTGTTCATATTACCAGATGGATGCATGCAAAATTGGAAGAAAGAAAAGAAAGAGAGAAAAAGGAAAAATAATTGAAAGGAGACAAAACGTTAAGCCTTAACAGCTGCTTTCCACAGACCAGCAGAAATCCACAGTACAGTTATCCAAACCATCCTGCTTACATACATAGATGTATCTCTTCTCCACTCCCTCTCCTGACCTTCTCAACTCAGTAATTCCTAAGGAGAATTAATCTACCTTTTAAAATTAGGAATGTTGAAGAGTTATTTAAAACTGCCACACCTTTCCCTTCTAAATACATCTTGTGCCTGTGTGTTCAGGGACTGAACCCAGGACATTCAGCCTGAGCTTTACCTCCAGTTCTTTTTTTATATTTTATTTTGAGACCAGATATCACTAAGTTGGCCAGTTTGGGCTCGAACTTGTGATCTCCAAAGCACTGGGATTGTAGGCATGTGCCGCTGTGCCCAGCTCCAAACACATCTTTTCTTACACTTAAGAATACAGAATATCTGGAATGTATAAAAGATCATAGAAAGGGAAGTATTACACGTTTTCTCTTTAGTGGAATGTTGTGGCTTGTGTCTCGGTGTTCCCCAGAGCCCCATGAAGTCATGGGGTGGCAGGCTTTTCAAAGGTGGCTGAATCTACAGTGTACATACGAGTAATTCGTGGTGCAGTGCTGGGAGTATAGTGTGAGTGCTGTCCCCACCCTAGGGCAGGTAACCTGCATACAGTACAAAGGACAGAAAGAGGCTTGCCCCTGTTTGTTGCTTTGCTGTCTTCTGACACCACAAATGGTGGACCCTGTGCATGCCATGCTGCCGTGGAGCCTGCTGAGTATGGACTGAGACCCCTACAAACTGAGCTGAACATATCTTTTTTCCTTTAACTTTGGGTGTCAGGTATTTTCTCTCAGCAATGACAAAAGTAATTAAGAAACAGAATTTAGGGGGGGGAAAGTGACCTGCCAGTAGAAGTGAGACTATTAGGGAAGGAGAAGAGGGTAGAAGACAGAGGAGATGGGAGCAGAGGGCAGCAGGAAGGGTGGATGCCATCCATACCTGACATATGTATACTTTAGTGAAACCCATTAATTTGTTTGGTTAACATGAACTGGTAATAATAATAATACTGGTGTAATATTAGGAAAGAAAAAATTATGGATTTCTAGATGGTAATCACGTTTTGGTAGGAGTTTGAGGGCATAGTTCCATTGTGTTCTAATTTCTAGCACTGCATTTGAGAAGTCTTTTATTTTGATTCCTTGATCCTCACCTGTTTTATTCCTGAACATCTTTAGGGTCCTGCAAGGTAGGAAAAGAGGGAGAAAACTTCTAAGAGAAGGCAAGAGATAGAGGAATAGACTAAACACCTTTTTTAATGCATACCTTGAATGTCTTTAGAAGTACCTTTCACTTACTGTTTCAAATATTTGTCTCCCTGTGGATTTATTTATTTTTTATTTTTTTATTTTTAGGGAATCATCTACAGAGTGTTCAGGGTCTCACTACTAGATCGGACTTGAAGTGATTCTCCTGTTTACAGCCTCCCAAGTACTGGGATTATAGGCTTGCGTCACCATGCCCAGTCTTAATCCTGTTTACGGCCTCCCAAGTGCTGGGATTACAGACTTGCATTACCATGCCCAGTCTCTGTCACCATCCCAGTGTGCCCTGGGGGCGGAGCTGGCACGGCAAGCCTGGGGATCAAACCCCGGCCCCTGCGCCTGCTTGCAGGTGCTTTAAACTGCTGAGCTATTTGGCTAATCCTTCCCTGTGGATTTTTTTAAAAGGAAGAGAATGCTCCAGTTTTGATATTCTTCCAAGCACAAGGCTTTCCCTCCAGCTCTGCCTTTAGAATTAGTTTGGTTGAGGAAACTGCCAACTCTATAGCTGTCCCAGGGCCTTGGTTGTGGCGAAGTCCTGCTCTCCCTTTTTCTCTGATAAATAGCACATTAAGCCTAGAATATTTAATAAGACTTCACCAAAGTCAGGGAATAAGCAAAAGAAGTGGAGAGGCCAGCATGCAGTGTGGTAATTTTTCGTGTGATGTTGAGTTTTAGTCATTTTTTTCTCCACCCTCTATCAGGGATTGAACTCAAGTCTGCACACTGATCTGCTTGCCCCAGCCCTTACCTATTTATTATTTGAGACAGAGACTTGCTAAGTTACCCAGGTTGGGCTTATTTTAGTGTCTTCTGCTTTGCTTTCTTTTTAGCTCTTGGCTTGCCTAAAATTAACAAAAGCAATCTTTTTTGTACCACCCCAGAAAACAACTAAGCACCTGTAGAATTTAAATTATTTCAAGCCAAAAAGAGAGGACTTTGTGGTTGACTTTGAGCGTGCTTCCTACATGAGGTGTCTTCCACAAGAATTCCTATCCAACAGTGGCACAGTAGTGCCTTTGAGACAGTCATATCTACCAAAATGCAGGATATTGTAATGTCCTTTCTAAAGATAAGCTTATAGCAGTGGGTTGGAAACTTATCATAGGCTTTAATGTAATGCATTTGTACATTGTATTTATGCATATTTTATAGTTTCATATAATAGGGGTTGCAATTTTACACAATTTTTAAAAAATGGGCTAGACTTAGTAGGCCTGGATTTTAGTCTGATCTGCCAGCAAAATGTCTTTTCTCTTTTAGCAAATAAATCTGTCTATAGCTGTCTGGAGACTTGAATATAAGTAGTCTATAATTTTGACTACAACTGAATTATTTTAAACAATTGTAAAATTTGTGCTCGAGTCTCTCTCTCTGTGATATATTAGTCTCTATGGTATATCGTGATATGTTGATCTATTTAACATGATGTTCAGATAATAAAGGGCCAATTTTTATTATTACTGTTATTATTATTATTGTTGTTATTGCAGTACTGGGGATCGAACTTGGGACCTTGCTTTTGCCAGGCAGGCGCTTATGCCACTGAGCTATCTCCCTGGTCCTAAAGGGTCAATTATTGTCCTTTGAAAAAAATATGATACATTTTGTAATGGGATACTTTATATAAGAGGTTCTGCATTTTGGTGATGGGGGACTTGCTTACACTTAAAGGAGACCATGAGAGTTTGCTATGAATAAATGTTTATTTCTTTATCACGTGACTTAGATGTTCATAAGCTGAATTAAATGTAGTTAAATCTACATTTAGATTCTATATGTTTATAGTTCTATTTCTTTTATATATTTGACATGTTTAAAATTTTAATTTAAAGTAAAAATAAGCAATCAAAAGTATCCTACATTAAAGTACTGTATGAGTAAAGTTCTTTGGTGCTCTTAGTTAAATAGATCTGGTTTGGTTTTTTTTTTTTTTTTTACTTAAATATACAATCTTTGTTTATTTTTCCAGAGTGAAAAACTTTTGTTATATGACACAGTTCAGAGTGAGCTAGAGGAGAAGATTAGAAGGCTTGAGGAGGACAGGCACAGCATTGACATTAGCTCAGGTGAGTGGCGTGTGGGGATGGTGACATCAGTGTCACACGTGTTCATCTTCTGAGATTAGTATGTAAATGAAATGTCCCAACAGAAAGGGGGAGACTAGCAAGGAATTATGATTGTGAATCTTACTTTGATTTGGATTTACACTTTAGAGAGATGTAAAAATTGGAACATATGAACACAAGTGCTGACAAGTACCCTACAGGAAGTAGAACTGTAATAGGAAGCTTCTATAAGAATAGTACTGGAAAAACAGCATCAGTGTATGTTGCTCCCTCTAAATCTTAAGAGACTGACATGTGGGGAAAGGAATGCAAACCTTTTTGACAGAGTCAAACCACAGTAAGTTGAGAGATCTGTAGTTTTTTATCTCTGAAAAAGGAAACACTTAATAGTAATTAGATTAGTTCAGTGTGAAGTAGGCTATTTTAGAGGTATTGGTAGAAAGGTTTCCTACAGTGGATGGAAGGGTTACTAGTTCATCCTAAAGTTCTTGAGTGTATTATTTTATCTGCTAAAAATTTATTATCACTGGGTTGGAATAGGCACAGTGCAGTCAGATATTCTGAGATCTAAGGCTACTGCTTCCTTACCAAGTATCGGAGTGACCTGGGAGAATTACTTGGGTTTCTAAATCAGTCTCCTTGGCCATAAAAGAGAAGGAATAAGAGTATCTACTTCAGAGATAGCCTGAGGGTTAGGTGAGACAGTGCACATGATACGTAAGGGTGAAGTGCCTGACATGCATGGATCATTTATAAATATAAGTGCTAAATTAATTTTTGCCTTAGTAAAGGTAGAGGAAATTCATAAATATAAGCTGCTTATGAAATTATATACTTGTATGTTATTTCTCCCTGAAGTATTATATAGTTATATAAATAAATAAAAAAAAATACCATCCATAAAATTATGTAGCACTTTTTCCTCCTAATACTTACTTTTTATTTGTTTACCAGAGCTCTGGAATGATGAACTTCAGTCGAGAAAAAAGAGGAAGGATCCTTTTAGTCCTGACAAAAAAAAGCCAGTTGTTGTTTCAGATATCCTTTCCCAACTGTCTGGATTTTTCCCCTTGATGTACATTTCTGCACTGTGCATATCTTTGTAGCTTCTACTAGTATACACTAACTTTATAAGTCATCCTGTAATAAGCAAAAGATTGCTTTTTAAAACTGATGGAAGGCAGAAGATATAATTTAGATTAAGAAGGGTGGGGGAAAGGGGAAGTTTAGCCACAAGGATGACTTTGAAAATTCACATGGTTCTATAGTTTGTGAGGGCTTTGACATGAAACAGGTGCTGGGTATACACCATGATTTCTCTTCATGGGTATAAAAAGGACCTTTTTCATGATATTAAGATTGGAATATGCTTGACTAGGAACTGATATGTACACTTAGTTTTGGCATTCCTGCGTCACCTTCCCCTTGCCCTGGGCTCTTTTCCCTTCCAGCTTGACAAAGTGATTAAGCTGGTAGTGTGTTTTAGCTTTGGCATTACCGCGGAACTAAGGGAATGTGCTGTGGCTTCAGAAGTAAGACAGTATCAGAAATGAAAAAATACCTTTATCCTGGTACTAAGCGTCTCACTGTGGCATTCAGGTTGGCTTTGCACTCGCTGTGACCCCTAGGCTGTCCTCAAACTTGTAGTGACCCTCCTGTCTTAGCCTCTTGAGTGCTGGGATTACAGGCATGTGCCACCACGCCTGGCCCGATACTGAGTTTTTAAAAGAATAATTAGAAGTCAGAATTTAGGATTCCAAAGAATTATGTCTGTACATCGTTGTTTTGTTTTCTGAAAAACAGAACTTTGGAAATAGAACTCAGAGTGTGATAGTGTTCCTTCCTTTCTCTTTCCCTTTCTCCTGTCCTTCCTTTTTTTCCCCTCCACCCTCCCTCCCTTCTTTCTGGGGATCCAACCATGGCTTCTTCACACAGGCTGGTCAAAGGCTCTGCTTGCTAAGTTACCCTCCCACCCAATTGTGATTATTTTTTTCAGCTAAATTAACCTTGACTTTTTAACGTCCATATATTGTTTATATGCTACAAGATCTTGATATTCTTGAAGACTGGACAACAATTAGGAAGGTATGATTAAAGAATGGTGAAACAATATTTTTATAGTCTACTTTTCAAGATTTTTATGCTTCTCATTAATATATGAAAGTTTTATAAATATGTTCTGCTTTGAAACATTTTTTCTAAGGCAGTTGATACTATTATAAGTAACAGTGGGATTGCAAGAGTGTTTTACGTATGTGTCAGCAGTTCATAGTTTTTCTTTAGTAATAAATACTTTATGGGGCTGGGGAAGATCACTCTGTGGTCTAAGTGCAAGGACCTGGGTATGATCCCTGGTACCGCATGCCATACCGGTCCTGGAACCCCAGGTGTGCCATGCCAGCCACTGAGACCAGGTGTGGTGGCGCACGCCTATAATCCCAGTGCTGAGGATGCTGAGACAGGAGGATCACTACGAGTCTGAACCATGTAATGAGACTCTGTATCCAACAAATAAATAAAATTTATAAAGCAACTTTGTGCAAGAGAACAGGAAAGAATTTATTTAGTTTACCCCCAAATCATGATATTAACGTTTTGTGCCTAGGACTCAGCCTAGCCCTGGTGCATGGAAGTTACTCAGTAGTTATTTCCTGAAGGAATAAAAGTGAACATTTGAACCCTTACTGTGTGTCCTGTGTTCTACCATTGGGCAGTCAAGAGTCACAGCTTTTCAGTGTTTGTTTAGAAGTGGAGCCTTATTTTCTTTATTAAGTTTTTTTCACTTTTGTAAAATTTTTTGTAAACTTTTATTTGTGTAAACTTTCTGAGCATTAGAAATTATTTCAGATACTGATAATACTTCTAGGACAAATTATTGTTTGTAATGTATATTCTTCATGGCCTCGGATCTTTGGAGCACCTAATGCTTATATTTTACCATATTTGTTATTCAGCCAATCATTAATGTTATAGATAAGATACAGATACTAAAATACGTTTTCATTCTAAATTCAACTTCTTTTTTTCCTTTTTGTTTTAATCAAGGCAATGGCCACGCTCGGTCCACACAGAGTGAAAACAGAACGTAAGTGATGATTTGAGAAATACTCGCTGTGGAGGTTTTATTGAATCAGGGCTCTTAAGTCATCTCCGTTCTAAAGCGCTTCCTTATCAGTAGCTTCATGTCGGCAGTGAGCACTGTAGCTGAAATGGTGAGGTATTTGTCTGGGGTTTATTACGTTGCCTCAAAGTTTAAGATTTTCTAGATGCAATGTATTTCTCTGTTGCTTTAGCTAGTGGATCAGTAATTCAAACTGTTCAGTGTTTTTATGGGCCCAGTAATGTTCATACCTGTCTGCATTTTCTTAGATTAGAATGCTGACAGCAAGGGTTGGCCAGATAGCTCAGCGGACTAAAGAGCCTGCTTCAGTGGAGTGCAGCGCCGCCGGTGTTCAACCCCGGCCTGCTGTGCTGGTCCTGCCCTGGGGCATGCTGAGACAGCAATTGAGACTGGGTGTGATGGTGCACACCTGTAATCCCAGCCTTGGAAGGCTGAAAACAGGAGGATCACTATGAGTCCAGTCTGTGTAGTGAGACCCTGGAGACCCTGTCCTAAATTCATTAAAAAAAAAAAAAAAAATTAAAAAGGTGCTGATAGTAGTCCATCCAAGAAACGTTTGTACCACAAAGGTCGATGCATTTCGTTATGCCTTAGTAAGATTCACATCAAGTTACAGTTCCTTGATTTTTTTTTTTTTAAATCTAAAAGCACTGCCAAAGTCATGATTGTTGTTAGCTTTATGTCTTTTTTAAAGGGTTTTTTATTATTATTATTTTCCATAATTTTATTGAGAAACAAATAGCAAAGAGAAAGATTCAAATCAAAATGGTAGGAAAGTTTCAGTAATTAACACATTATGGCTTTTTTCACTAGAAGTGAGATTTCCTAAATCCTTCTAAGCGCCATGAAGCTAGATTTTTTTTAAAGCATATTTTAAATACTAAGATCTTTCTAGTCACATTCCAACATACTGTAAGAGATTGATTTCTGTATTATCGTTATTCTAAGGATTCCTTTAGTTTATGTTATTTTATTTTATTTGGTACTGCGGATCAAACTCAGGACCTTGTAGTTGTCAGGCAGTCACTTATGCCACTGAGCTATGTCCCTGGCCCTCTAAGGATTCCATTACATTGCTTTATCATGTGAAGACACCACAGCAATGAAGTATCATCATTGGGAATCGACTGGAAGGGCAGCTTCCTAAATCTCTAGGGCAGTGGTTCTTGGCATTTTTGGGATCATGGATTCCATTGAGGTCCCCCCACCTCCCACACAGATCCCTGTTATCTTTAGGATTATGTCCTATTTTCTTTTTAGCATTTGTCTCAATTTATACTTTTTAATTCATTATTTGTCTCCTGTCTGGATTGTAAGCTCCATGAAGGAGGCCAGTACTGTATCTCTTTTACCTTTATCCTCCCTGCCACTACCACGCTGGCCTGGCACAGTTCCTTGTATACAGAAAGTACTCACTTAATGCGTGAACGAACAAGTGAATGCATACTCACTGACAGGTTCTCCATATAGGGCACTGTCTTAGAATATGTGGACACAATCGAGAAACCTCCTGGAGTCCCCTTGCAGGTGGTAGAATAATGTATATGTAAGTGAAGAGCTCTGGATAATAATTGTTATGAAGGAAATATAAAGTTATTGTGACAGTTAACTGAGGGATAGGTAGAGTGGCTGGAGAAGACCTATCTGAGGTAGTGACATTTGAATGACAAAGAGGTATTTAATTTATGGTATGCTTTTGACTGTATGAAGAATACTTTCTCACTGCATGGGTTTATCTGACTAATGCCAAATCATTTCTTGAATTTAGAAATGGAAGTTGTATTTATGATATTTCCTTTTTAGAATGAAAGGTGTGGGAAACTCTTGGACTAGATATTAACTTTGGCTTCATATGAGGCAGTATAGCTCAGTGGTAGAGCGCTCAGCATGTGCAAGGCCCTGGGTTTCATTTCTAGGACTGAAAAAAAAAAAAAAAAAACCTAAAAATAAAAACAAATCACAAACCAAAGTGAAAACCTCTGCTTCTTTGGAAGCTCTCAGATTCCTTGCAAGGGAGAAAATATGGAAAAATAGAGTTCCCAGTGGGAATATGGCAATTGATATATTCAGTATTATTTAAAACTGGTTTTAGTAATTAGCAAGTCTTGCATTCGTCTCATCAATTAATGACTTATTTTTCATTTGGCTTTATTTACATTAAAACTTGTAGGATTATATGAAAGAATATAAGAAATAAATTTTTTCTTTATTAGATTTTAGCTTTGTTATCAAGAAATACTTTGGTTTTTTTCACATGTGCATGGGTTGGATTAACACAATGTTCTGATCCTTTTGTTCTTCTGACAATGTCTTATTAATATAACAGTTTTGAACTGATCCCTTTAGCGCCTGTGAAATTAGAAAAGCATCTGCATAGTGCTAGATCCGAAGAGGGAAGACTGTATTATGATGGTGAATGGTATATACGAGGACAGACGATATGTATTGATAAAAAAGATGAATGTCCTACAAGGTAAGAAGCTTTTGTCATTTCAGTGTTATTACCCAGTCCTGGTTTTTATATTATCATTGTCAATATATGCAGCTTTTATTGGCTATTCACAATGTGTCATTAGTTGCTTGTGGAGTCTTACCCACATTTGATCATATGTGTACACACGTGATGATATCAGTATACCAGACTTTCTGTTCCGCTCATGAGCATCAGTACTAATACAAGTAGAAGTATTGGAATTACTTTTCTAGTAAGTGATCCTGTTAGTTAATTCTTAGAGGTAACAAGCTGTTATGATTCAGATATTATGGCCTCTAAAGCAGACCTGTAGGAATTTTTGGAAGATCTATCCCTAACTTTATCAGATCTGTTAGAATTTGTATCTATTAAAAGAGAAGAAATGGAATGTAAATAAAAACTAGAATAATAATAGTTAAAAATGTAACTTTAAAAAATTTAATCTCTTTATGCTGAAATAAAGTTTGTATAATTATGTATAACTTCTAAATTTTGTCTGGCTATGGTCTTTTGAAAATATTAATGTGAATCATTGCTTTCATTCCTCAGTAGTTCAGAATTTAATTCTCAGAGTAGTACCCTTCTTTGGTAAGAAGATACCTTTTCTTGGACAACAGTAGTAAATAAGATATTTGAAGCACTTGCCTGGCAAGCACAGGATCCAGAATTCAATCCCCACTATCGTATTAAAAAAAAAAAAGATTTGAAGTTAGTATTCTAACTCATTTTCCAAGTACAGTGGTTTTAATTAGATAATAATTTCATTTAAAATTTTAAATTAAGGATTGTAAGAACATTGTAAAATAACTTCATAGAAGTTCACTGAGCTGATCATTAAATTGTGTATCATACTCTGGGATACTTCTTTATTGATTTTGTAACCTTTTACTGGTTAACATTAAGGTAATTAAAAACAAGATGACAGCGTAGAAGAGAGCAAAACATGTTTTATAAAAATTTCAATGCAAAGATTAGAAGAGTCAGAAAAGTCCATGTAAGTGCCGCATGGAGGATTTCCTGTAGTCAAGGGTGGTCAGAGTTGGGTATGGTAACACTGTGTCAGTCTGTGGTTTTTGTTCCACTCTCTCTTCTTGTGGAGTGGGATGCAGGTGTAATGTGCATTTGGTCCAGCCATGTGTCACTGAGCAGCAGGCCTATCTCCTGAGAAATGCACCCTTAGGCTTCTGGTAGTTATGCAACACCATGCACAAACCAAAGTGAAATACAGCCTGGTCTCTCAGCATGCCTGCTTGATGTACTTAAGATATGAGGCTGCTGCCACACTCCGGGATGTGCTGTTTTATTATAATCTTTTTTTTTTTTTTTCTTAACAAGGAGAAGTACACCTTAAAATCATGGCAAAAACATATCACAGTAAATACATACTAAATTATATTATACATAATAAATAAAAGTGCACTTTTATTCTTCTGGCAGCGCAGTCAGCCTTGTGCACAGCAGCACCACAAAGTGCTAGGGGCACCTGTGCTGCCTTCTCATGGCTGCAGCCACCCGGGGTGGGACCTTTACTCCCCTTAGAATACCCTCCCTCACTTAGAACACACTTTCTGAAGCAGTTCTTGAAGTCCTTTTTCTTGAGTTTCTTCAGATGTGCCGTTGTGGCTGCCTTGATGGCCAGAGTTGACTCGAACATGGTTGTTTCAACTTGGGGGCAGAGGCAGGGGTCACATGGTGCCAGATCCACTGAACAAGGCGGGTGAGGACACAGTCAGGTTCTCCAAGCCTCACTTTCTTTTGGATGGTACTTAACAGCAGGAGTCACCATGTTTTTGATTGTCTCTCATAAAGACATGAAAGAGAATTTCAGAGCTGCTTCAGAAAGTGATACAAAGGATGAGATAAGTGTGTTTGAAGTGAGGGAGGAGGTTTTTGTTTTGGGGGATTTGTTGTTATTTTGAGACAGGGTTTTGCTGTGTGGTTCAGGCTAGCCTTGAACTCACTATATAGCTCAGGCTGGCCTCAGTTCACAGCAATCCTCTGCCTCAGCCTCCTAAGCACTGGGATTCTAAGCATGTACCACTCTGCCCAGCTGGAGGAGGAATTTTTTGAGGAGTATTGATACCAATGTGTCTCTTACTGTAATAATTTTTTAAAAAGTTTCTAGCAATGTATGCTATCGCTCTCGCTCTGTGGTCCCTTCTTCGTTTAATGTCTTTCTGCAGCATGTGACTGTAGCTCTAATAGAAAGCCAGCCTTTCTTCCCTTGCTACTCAAGTCCCTTTCTCCTTCCACCCTTGGATCGCTTTTCCCCTTCACCCTTCTCTGTTCCTGCTACTCCTGTGATCTTTAGTAAGTGCAGCTACTTTCTACATATAAAAAAGAAAGTCAGTTTACTAACTCTGTTAAAGAAAGTATATTATTATTAAAGTGTCTCTGAATGTTATATTCTTGACCTGCTTATAGCACAGTTGTCTGGTAAATGACAATTATGTACTTGAATCCATTGTCCAGTGGTTTTGGTTTTATAGTTAGTAGTCTGAAAGGAGACATTGTAACTCATTCATTCTTCCTCTTCTCCCCCTTTTTAGTGCTGTAATTACAACAATTAACCATGATGAAGTTTGGTTTAAGAGGCCTGATGGAAGCAAATCTAAGCTTTACATTTCACAGCTACAGAAAGGAAAATATTCAATTAAACATTCGTAATTATGATTTAAGTGTTGTTTAAATCTACCTTGTTAGTGTTATAAATTTCAGTGTGCCATGGGAGAGAAAAAAATGTATTCAGCAACTTACTATTCTCATTGAGTCATGAGAGAATGTGTATTTGTAGGTAGTAGACCTCATATTATGTGTTATTAAAAGAAGCAGTAATGAAAAAAGTTTAATCATCGTCATTACATTTATTTGCCTCTTAGGTCCAATTACCAATGCTATATATGGTAAGGATTTCCTTTGAAGAGTTTTTCTTTGTTTTTGTTTTTTTTTTTAAATAATCATGCAGCTCTGTCTACTCTTTAGTGAACTATGGCTATGTTTATCTGCAGTTTTTTATTTTCCATTTTTGTCACTCATCATGTTTGTAAATAAGACTGACAAGATGTTTCCTATAAATGGTTTGTATTAGTATATTAGTGTTAAATCAGAATTGAAATTTAAATCCATATGAGTATGTATATTTAGCTTCATCAGCTTGTTTAGAACTGATGGTCTTATGTTACAATCTAGATTTCCCAAAATTGAAATATTTGGTTTGAAAGCTAAAAGGAGCACTTTTGTAGAATAATTTTCCTTCTCTTTCTTGATGGTATGGTGGTGACCTATTTTTACAAATTATACTTATTGTTAATTAGCAAAATTAATATCAAGTGTTAACATGTTCCTACCTGTATTTCTTGTGGCCCTTTAAAGGGCAGGTGTTCATCCCTGGTATTTATGATCCAGTATGTAAGTGGTGAACAGTAACTGACAGTATTGTGGTGCTTGCTGTACATGTGTGATTTTCACAAACAGATTTTTAGTAAGCATTTTCCAGAGATAAAACTAGATTCTTAATCTAATTTTATTCCTAGGGCAAAATGGACAAGGATAACTTCCTTGGATCTATTCTCCACTTGGTGTCTCTATCTTGGGTGTTATTATCCCTTAAGGCCATTTGGTGCAATTTGGAGAGCGCTGGCCTCCCTTCCCCTTGCCACATTCAGATGAACTCGCAGCGTCTCAGAACAGCGCAGCGCATCGGCGCCCTCAGTGGGGCAGCGCGGTGGCTGTGGTACGTAAGGTACAACCAAACCAAGTATTCCTGGTGGTCTTGTGCACTTTAATTTCTGTTACAGTGAGGCCTAAGAGGGTGAGGAAGACATGTGCTTATTAACATGGTGCAGGGCTGGCTGTGTGACTCCATGTGTCTCCATAGTATTCTAGCTCTGCAAACATCATCCTGTATAGATCACTACCTTATAGTTGCCAAATCTTAAAACATTTGACTTCTGAAATTCAATATTAGCAGTTCTGCTATTTTGTTCTGTTCCTAATTAACTTTAGTAACTGTACATAATGTCATAATCCAATAGTATTTGACAGTACTTATGTATACAATGTTTGATAAGCATTTTTAATAAGATTTGTATTTTTTAATTTAGTATATAATAAAAAGATGTGTTTGAGTGTCATTTGTTGTGTCTTGAATTACTTATGCAGACTTAGTTCTTACATCATTTATATATCGCCCAGTTCTGAGAATAAGTTTAATCAGTTTACATTGATGGCTATGGAGTGCTTGAGTGTTGCACAAATCTTTCTGCTTCCCTCAGTCACAACTCAGCTGTTGGGGTATATTTAGATGTTCAAGACAGCTAAGTTACACTTAATTAAAAAATGTATGTTATTATGATTTAATAAACATGTACAGTGTAAATTCTGAAGTTCTAAATACAAAAATCCTTATTTTAGCAGTATGATTTAGGGGCTAGGGATATAGCTTAGTGGTGCAGTGCCTTCCTAGCAAGCACAAGGTCCTGATTTCAATTCCCAGTACCCACCCCATAAAAAATAAAGTGATTTAGTAAAGGTACTTTTCTAAACTTGAATATTTATACAGTATGTATGATTCTACCATAATATTCAGATCCTAGTAATCATAAGCCTGTGATTAAAGTATTATAAAAATAGTTATGGACAGTTTGCCAGTAGTGTTCTGTTACAGATTTAATTTCGGAGAATTGTTAGAAACTTGGACATATGTGGCAGCAGCTCTATATGTCTATGGTGAGTGTTATGGTTTGTATCTAGTTGTTCCCCCAAAGCCTCATGCAGTCATGCGGCGAACTTCTAGAGTTTGTGATTAACTCGTGATCCACTGGGATTACGGGTGTAAGTGCTGCTGGGATTATGGTTGTGAGTACAGCCTGGGGCGATAGCCTGAATGCAACACAAGGGAGACAGACTTGCTCTCTGCAGCCACTTTTGCCCCTACTCCTTGCATTTGCACTCTGCTCTTTGCTGCCGCCATGAAAGGCTGACCTCTGCCATGTGCCACTCTGCCTTGGAGCCAGCTCAGTATGGACTGAAATCTCTAGTAGCTGTGAGCTAAATAAATCTTCCTTTCCTTTGTTTTGAGTATCAGGTATTTGTCCCAGCAACAAGAGAAGAATAACTTCTATCAGTGAGCTTCTGTCTTTGTATCAGCTTCTGTGACTTTCCTGTCCTGTCTCCTAGTTTTTCATGTTCAGTCCACCTGTTCTTGCCATTTCCTACTTTATTTATTTTTTTGTGGTTCTGGGGATAGAACTTGGGACCTTGTGCTTGCTAGGCAGGCGCTTATGCTACTGAGCTACATCCCCAGCCCCCATTTCCCACTCCAAAAGGTATTCCAGCCATCACTAATCCAGTTTATCAAATAATAATTCCCACCAAATATTAGTGGCAATCCCCTCATCCATTCCTTTCTCATTGTTCCTTTTGATACACTGAGCTTTCCATTACCATCTTGATGTAAAAACTGTACCTATACTGTCACTCAGGACTCCGCTCACAGAACCACACACTCCTCATTGATAATTGTTTAGGAAGGACGTTGCCTATTTCTAATACTTTGCTTTTGGGCCCAATGAAACCAGTGTAATAAAGTAGAATAAAAGTGAACTTTTTATAAGGAAAATGGATGTAGGAAAAATCAGTCATTGGGATTTATATAGTCTCTAGCCAAATTGGAATACAAACTATTTTCTTTGCTAAAGATGAAATCTGAAATACAAGAATCAAAAAGTACAAAATGGGATTAGAAAAAAATGCATGTCCATTATTTTTAATGGGTCAACTACAGGAATTGTGTATAGTATGATCATTGAGACTTAATGAGCAATCCTGGCATTGCCTGTGGAGGACCATAACCTCCCTCTGAACGTTTTCCAAGCATGTACCTGGCTGCTCTGGTCAGTGTTGGGCTGCTGTGGCCCCTGACTCAAGGGTAGCTGGTGATGGTAACGCTAGACGTTTGAGTGACTGCTAGATGGTAGGAGCTATGTTAATGTAAAACTGAAAGTCGTTATTTAGCTTTTTTAAATATTCAATGCAAAATGTACATACATGTCATTTTCATGTTCAAAACAAAATGAACACAAATGTAATAGTTGTGACAGGTTTACTCTTTATAGATTTGCCATATATTGCAAATTTCTGGCCATAATTATTTTCTCCAGGTATCAAAAGCAAAATATTGTGGTAGAACTTATGTTTGCAATGTTACAAACAGTCAATTATCTGAAGTTGCTAATCTTTATGAAAAAGGTGTATGTGGTTAGTTATTGAAAGGTAAAATTTATCAGTCTAGAATTGTTCCTGAAGTTTAACCCCGTGTGTTCTCTTTTATGATAGGAAGGTCAAGAGTAGAAGTCATGCAGTAATAGTCTTTAGAGTCCATTTTCTCTTTCCTTTTCTGTTTTCCTGTATGTAGCACATGTTTGAGGTGGGTGACCTTGCTAGATTGGTACATTTGCTGAAGAGAGAAGTACCATCATTTTAGTCCAGCAACAGGCCGCGTGGTAGCATTTCATCCTGCTAGTGAAGATTACAAATTATGTTAAATCGCGTAGAAAGCCAGACCTTTGAGCAGAGGCTAAACGATCTTTACAGGGATACTGAAAGAAATATATTTCATTTATTATTGAAAGATTTTGAAAATGGCATTGTTAATGGAGGACATATATAAGTGCTTGCACTTGTTTGAAGATAAATTTATGATTTTGGATATTATTATGCTTAAGTACATCTATGGGTAATTGCACTTATAGACTTCAGACACTGTTTAAATTATCCATTGACTCTAGCAGATTTAAACCTTATACTTCATGGTGTTAACTTACATTTTTAAAATACGTTTATGTACTATTATATCTTTCCTGCACCTACTTACATCAGGGGTGGTGAACCTGTAGCACGCGTGTTACTATGGCTTTTAAGATGGAAGGTATTAGTATATGAGTTTCTCTTTTTCTAAACCAAAGCCTCAGTATTCAGGGCTAATCGCAGTGTTGGCACTCTGTGATAAATGAGTGGGCTTTGGGTTGCAGTGTGGCAATTGATCTCTGCCCAATCACCATCCCTGGACTCCATCCTTTCTCAGGCCCAAGGTTCTTTTTGAGTGTTGTGTGCTTCTCATAGAAAGGGGAGCCCTGGGCCTATGCCATCCTTCAATTTTTTTATAACTCTCTTCTCTTCCTTTGTGAGGCTGCCTGTGCGAATTCCCAGTGCTGGGTTCTGCATCCCCTGCACATGGGCCCAAGGGAGGAAAGAGGGTCAAGTGGAGGCTGGTGTTCTGGCCCCTGCCTTCAGGGTGCTCTCCTTCCCTCCCCTCCTTTTCTCTTTTAGGACAGGGGACTGAATCGAGGCCTTTGTGCTGAGCTACATCCCCAGCTCTTTTTTATTTTTTATTTTGAGTCAACTAAGTTACCCAAGCTGGGCCCAAACTTGGTGATTCTCCTGCCTCGGCTTCCCAAAGGCACCAGGATGACTGGCTGCAAGGTGATTCCTGTGACCTCTCCAAGTTCTATAAACTTCTCTATCTGCATCTGGAGATCTTAAAAGATTTTGTATGGTTCTATGTCCCATATTGGATATTAGAAGCATGTGTACTCTTCTAGCTGGTTTTGCTTTTAAACAGTATGTCTTGGTGGTAGCTGTGGCTCGAGGGTCCTTGCCATGTCTATTGTGACAGAAGGTAGCCAGGTCCACAGGTGCTGTGGGAGGTGATGAAACTTTGGCATGTGCTTAGGTCTCTGGGAACTGGCCCTTGGGAGACACTTGCCTTGGGTCAGATCTCAGAGGTGGTTTTGTGAGCCTGAGCTGGGCTTCACTCAGCCCTTGGTGCTTCCTGTTGGAGATATGACCACTGGCTCCCATGCTCCCTACCATCATCTGCCTTCAGCAGGGGTCAACCTAGAGACAAGCTGCTCTTTGACTTGGAACCTTCAAAACTA